TATTTTTACTATGTAAATTTTTAATTTTTATGGAGTTTAATTTATCTGTCTTTTATTGTACTCTGTGCACACAGTTTATAGAGGAATTTTTTTGTGTTCTTCTAGCACTTATATATTTAGTTCTTTTTTTATTTGAATGTGTTGGGGTGACATTGGTTAATAAAATTATGTAGGTTTCAGGGGTACAATTCTATAATACATCACCTGTACATTGTATTGTATGGTCACCCCAAGTCAAGTCTCTTTCCATCACCAGTTTCTTCTTGAATTCGGAGTTCATTTGCGTGGATGGTGTGCGGTACAGATAGAACGTTTTTTGTTTTCTAAATGGCTACCCAGTTGTCCAGCACCATTTTCCTAAAGAGCCCAGTGGTCTGAGATAACACCTTCGCCATAGACCACATTTCCACATGAACCTGAGTCTGTTTCTGGATTTCTCTTCTGCTCCACTGATGGCTTTGTTGGCGTAAATGCCGGTTCCTCGTTGGTTTTAAATTTAGAGATCTCGTAGCAGGGCTCCGTAGCTGGGAGGACTAGACACCACGTGTGGTTTCCGTGACTCTAGAATATCTGGTTTCCCGGGTCTTCTAGCCTGTGTGTGTGTGTTTGTTTTTCCACATGAATTTTAATGTGAACAGCTTGTCTCGCCAAATACAAAGTTTGGCGGTATTTTCTGGAGGACGGTGTTACTTATAAGTGAACTTAAGGAGCGCTGACAGCGTTATGGTGTGGAGTCATTTTGTTCCAGAGCAGGGCTGTCGTTATACTTGTTGGTGTCCGCTTTTGTCTCATTTAGGCCCGTTTCTAAAGTGCCCCTTCATCCTGGGTTTTGCACAATTCTTACCCGGTTGATTTCTAAGCCTTTTATCTCCTGTAATACTGTTGTCCGTGGAGTTGTATCCGCTGTTATGTCTTCCGGCTGGTCACGTTTGTGTAGGTGAAGACGACTGGTTTCTCTGTGTGAATTTTATGTGCTGTGCTTGCTTAATGCTTTTCCTGCCCGAGTTAATTGGAGCATTCTCTCGGGTTTCCAGGGTATATCCTATTACTTCATCGGCAAATGGTTTGACTTTTTGTTTTTCAGCTCTGGTGGCTCTGCTTGATTTCTCTTGTCTAATCGCGTCGGTTCCTACCTCCAGGACAATAGTGAATGGTAGTGGAGGTAGCAGGCGCCCTGGTCTTGTTCGTGATCTTAGTGGACATGCCTCTAGGTCAGTGATGGCGAACCCTTTGAGCCCGGCGTGTCAGCATTTTGAAAAACCGGGTCACATATAGAAATTTTTTGATATCTGCAACCATAGTAAAACAAAGACCTATATTTTTGATATTTATTTCATATATTTAAATGCCATTTAACAAAGAAAAATCAACCAAAAAAATGAGTTCGCGTGTCACCTCTGACACGAGTGTCATAGGTTCGCCATCACTGCTCTCGTGAGTCTTCGTTCAGTAGAGCTGGCTTTGGGACTAAGGTTTATGTATTTTTATCATGTTAAGGAAGTAGACGTCGTGTGGTTTTTTGTATTTGTTTGTTTTTTAATTAGAAATAAGTGTTGGATTTTATCAAATTTTTTTAGCATCGGTGGAGATAATCAGATGACTCTACTTAGATCACTTCATATGGTATATTTTATTCTAGTATTAAACCAACCTTGCATTCCTGGAATAACTGTGCTTGGTTACACTGAATTATAGTCTTAATATGAGGTTGGTTCTGCCTGCTAATGTTTATTTTACGATTTTTGCACCAATATTTATAAGTGATATTTAAGTATCAATGTTATATTTGCTTCATAAAAACAATTTGGAAGCTTACCTTTATTTTTATTTTTTTAACATTTTTATGGAATGTATTGGGGTGACGTTGGTTAATAAGATTATGTAGGTTCCAGGGGGTACGGTTCTCTAATGCATCATCTCTATATTGTATTGTGCGCTCACCACCCCACATCAGGTCTCCTTCCTTACCTTTATTTTCTATGCCCTGAAGGAATTTATGCAGCATTAAAACTACCGAGTGCTTGAAGTTTTGCACTTCCTGTGAAACTCTTTAGGTCTTTTAGGGGGAAATTCCTTGACAGTTGTCTCTATTATACAAAAAATTGATTTGTTGAAGTTTTTGATCTTTAATGGAGTCCTTTTGGTGTATTTTTCTAGGTAATTATCTCATTTACATTTTCAGATTGATTTGCATAGTCTCATGAATTTTTAAAATTTCTACTTTTTAAATAGTTGCATTTAAAAATGTTACAATTTTCCCATTGTAACATCTTAGTTTTACATTTGGATTTCTCTTTTTTTTTCTGGGTTGGGAGGGAGGGGGAGTAGGGAGAGGTTTAGGGACGGTGTGTAATAAGTAGTCCTGAAAGAGTGAAAAACCCAGGTTGGAATTGGGGGGAAGAGGAGGCTGGGGGGCTGGAGGGTACAACCCATTTAAGAAGCAGAGTGACTGGGGAGGACTGTCTGTCGGGAGCACCCGGAAGACGTGCGCAAGGCTCTGGGCGCAGTTCCTAGGTTAAGGGGCTGAGTCTTGATCCTTCAGGTGACTGTCCCGACCATGGGCTCTGAGGCCGAATCCAGCCCACTCCCTGCCTGCTTTCGTATGGCCCACGAGTTTACTCTTTTTTTAAATTTCTTTTTAATATATATTTTTATTGATTTCAGAGAGGAAGGGAGAGGGAGAGTGAGAAACATCCATGGTGAGAGAGAATCATCGATCGGCTGCCTCCTGCACGCCCCCTACTAGGAATCGGGCTGGCAACCCGGGCCTGTGCCCTGACCGGGAATCAAACCGTGACCTCCTGGTTCCTAGGTCCACGCTCAACCACTGAGCCACGCCGGCCGGGCTGGCCCACAAGTTTAAAATGGTTCCTACCGCCCGGCCGGCTGGAGGGGGGTCCGGCCGTGCACCCATGACGCATCTGTCCTCTGAACGTTTGTGTTGCAGTTGTCCTGGAGGAAGATGATGGTAGCTTGCTCCATGACAGTGGCCAGGGGATGGAGCAGAGTCGTGGGGGAGTCGAGGGGTGTCGATAAGGATAGAGAGCTCACGGCACTTGGCAACGCAGAGGTGAGGAGTGAGGGTGTGGCCAGGACAGCACTCCCCGGGCTTCCCAGGCTCGGGGAGAGCAGCGGAGTGAGTGGCAGCGCCTGTGCCCCTCATCCCTCACCCCCCACCCCCACTACCACCTTTCTCGCTCATCTCCACATCCCTCCTTGCTCCCGCCTCACCTGTTTTCCTCTCAGGGGAACCTTCCTACCCTCCTGTGCACAGCTCAGAATTAGTGCTCCTCCAGGTAAGGGAGCTGCAGGGGGGTGGGGTGTACCTGTGAGAGAGGAAGAGAGAGAGAGAGAGAAAAGCACCTGCCTGAGACCCCACCCCCACCATCACCTCCCACCAGGTGCTCCTCACCTGGCTGACCCCCCTCCCCATCCCGTGGGTCTCCATTTAAATGTGAGGCTTCCCTGCCCCAGGTACCTCTACCACCATCGACCTCCCCTCATTTTGTTCTTTCACAGCCCATGTTTTCTTCTTTTTTAAAAAAAATTAATTTATTTTTTTAAGATTCATCTGGATACTCAGGATTTCAGGGTTTTGTCCAGTTACAGAAAAGCGAGGAACTCCCCCTCGCGGCTGGTTTCCAACAGGGGCTTCCCTGGAGGAACCGAGAAAGCCCAGGAAACCTCCCACGGGCGGGAGCTGTTCTCCCGCAGGCGCCTGGGGCTTCTTCGACTTCGCTCAGTGAGCTGTTCGCAGCGCCTGGCTCCCAGCCGGTCCCGTTAACATCTTCTGGCTTTGTCTCCGAGTCAATGTCAGGGTCAAGGTCTTTCTTTATCAAAGATTCCAAGTGCATCCTTCGAACCCAATGCTTAAGCACATTTCGCTAAGAGCAGCAGAACATTGGAAAATCCAACTTCTGGTTCTCAGAGTCACGTGGCTACTCAGCTTCGTAAAACACTTTCCGGGAAAAGCCAGGAAGAGCTTATGTCGCTTTAGAAGGAAAACCATTTCCGTTCCCGGATGACCATGTTTCCCGTATTGGCATCTGGTACGGCGCCTCCGTGGGCGCTGTCATCACACAGGGATGACACCTGGGCCGGGGGTGTTCCTCTCTCTCCCGGCTGACACCCCTGAGCACCTCTCTCCCATCAGCTAGAACTTTGAGCAAATCTGCTTAGTGAGGATAAGTAGCCCTTTTCAAAAAGAAATCGATTAATTCCAGGAAGACAAGAGTCCAGATCGGCGTCGAGGAGATGGGAGGGAGCGGGGGTCACCTCTGTCTGGACTGATTTCTTGGAAAGGGTTGTTTTATCCAACCAGGATCCACTCTCCCTCCCAACGCAGTGCCCGCAGGGAAAACGATGAGCGCCCAAGGTCAAGGGTAGAGGGAGCGACAACTGGTAGGATACCATCAGCTGCCTTCTCCTTCTCGGGGGTGGGCGCCTGAGCTCACTACCTGATAGAAGACATAAAACATGACCCCCAGGAAGTGCCCGCTTCTGCCCCTGCCCGCCCCATACCGGATGACTGCTCCCCTGCATTTGACATCATTCCCCCACTGTATTTTACTATGGTTTTCTTTTACGTGTTTTTTTTAAGCTTCATATAAAATATATATAAAATGTGCCTATATTATCTATAATTTGCATTCACCTGCAATTTGCTCTTTTCTTCCTATAGCCCTGAGATTCATCTACATGGAC